GCCTGTGATAAGCACCTCTCCTGGAAGCACCCTTCTCCTCCTAGGCCTGGGCCCCCCCTCTGTCACTTGGGGTGTGCCCAGTACTGAGACCTGAAACGGGTGTCAGTGCTGCCTAAGATCGTCCAGGAATGCTCCCGGCTCAGCCCTGGCTCAGGCCACCCGGACTGACCCCTAACTCCAGGGATGCCTGCAGGCTGGCCCTCAGGGGGCTTCCACCAACAGCCTGGTTGTCCTCAGGTGACACCAGTCAGGCTGCCGGGGGGACGGTGACCTGGTGGGAGTGCTCTGGGGCACGTGGCTGGGGAACAGCCTCGAGTCGGATGAGGCCTGGATGCTCCTGACTGGACCGGGATGCCCAGCTCCACACACTGCCAGGAAAGCCGCAGGGCAAGCGGGAGCCCCTGCCTGCCCCAGTCAGCTGGGGAGGTGGTGGGGTCACACCATGCGGCTGGACCTAGTCGCCATGTCTACCCCGCATCCCTCCAGCAGCCAGTGAGGAGGCCAGAGCTGGGGCGACACAGGGCCTGGGCCCCGGCCAAGACTCCATCTGCCGGCCACATGCGCTCAAGTGACGCTGCCAGCATGTGCGAGAGCAGAGAAGAGGAGACGGTGCGGACACGGCCCCCCAGGGCCCTGAGGCCGGCGGCTCAGCACGGCTCGGCACGAGACCAGGCTTTCATCTCCATGCTGCCTCCTAACCCACACCAGGCTGGGCTCACAGCTGCCCGAGTGCCCAGTGTCGATGCCAGGGCCATCTCCCACCCGTCGGCAGGGGCTCAGGCAGGAGGCCGCACCCCGAGAGCCGGGTCTAGGCTGGGTTCTGAGGCTCTAGGCCGGAGATGAGGGCCCAGCCGCCCAGCCTGGCTTGTGGGCCACCCCAGCACACAGAGGCCTCCCTCCACCCTGTCACGCCAGCTCCAAGCCCATGTGCAGCCTGCTGGGAGGCCGTCCTGTGGTGGGAAGGAGCACCAGGCCCAGGCGCCACAGCCGTGCCAGGCCCCAGGTCCAGGAGGACGCTCCCTCCCCACTCCCCAAGGCCACTGATAGAGCACGAGCCCCACGCCCAGAACCTTCCAGAAGGCTCCAGTTCACTGTCCCTGTCACCGCGCACCCCCAGGTCCTCCCAGGATGAGAACCAAACTGCGGATCGGTGACTGCTGGCTCGGCCGGGTGCGGATGTCACTGGGAAGGGCAGTGCACAGGCAGGTCCAGCAGGGCGGCGCTGGGTGAGCCTGTGGCTGCGGCCCTGGCCACTTGTGCGCTGACTGTACCTGGGCACGGGCCCCTGGGAGCTGGGTGCGACTCCACGCTGGGAGAGACGGTCAGGCAGGAAGAGGTCGAGGCAGGGCACGCGGGGAGGCCTGCGGCCCTGTCCTCAGCCAGGCCAACTCCCACGCTGGGATGTGGGCCGGTGTGCCGTCAGGACGGAAAGGGAAGTGTGGACGGCGGCGCAGGAAAGCAGAGGGCAGCCGGTGTCCCCGCGGCCTTCCTGCAGCCTCCCCAGCCGCCCCACCCGCCAGGCCTCCCGGGACACAGCGGAGTGGGCTGCCAGGCCCGGGGTACACCAGGAGCCAGGAAGACCCCCGGCCGCCTGCCTGGGGACCTCAGCCCTGAGAGCACTGTGGCTGCTCTGCGATGCCCGAAGTGGTCACTTGCGCCGTCACAGGACACAGCTTGCCCCGAGCTCCAGCCAAACCAGCCCCTCCTACCCCACACCAGCCGCCTCTGTCTCAGCATGGTCAGGGACGGACTGGTCCCAGCGCCAGCAGAGCAGCCCTGCGCCGGGCGCCAACAGAGCGGACTGCTACGCTGGCACTCCTCCTGGTTCACTGCTTCGACTTGCTCACTTCTTTTTCTTTCTTTATGGATTTTCGGTTTGCAGTGCACTATCTCTAGCGTGTCTCCAATGTCCCCCCCGCATCAGCCTATTAGAGCACTGAGAAATCCTGCAAAAAGAAAAAGCAAAATCTTCACACGGCGTCTCCTCATTACAAAGACAAATGGACCACAGAAGCCCAGCATGGCTCCGACCGATTCAGGACACCTCTCCATCTGGGCTCCTGCATCCCCAGGCCTGCGCCCAAGCCGCTCGGACAGTTAAGCAAGGAGCCCCAGGATCTGTGTGCAGGGGGCCCAGCGGCTCGAGGGGCACTCAGCACACCCCCTCCTGCAACGAGGGGCCTGGAGTCTGCCAGGCGGGACCCTGAGGGCCCTGCCACGGGGGGAAAACGGTGGGATCCAGAGCAACCTGAGCTGCCCCGCCACGCCCTGCGCCAGAGCTCCTCCGACGCAGCCCCTGCGAGCTCGGCATTTTTCTTTCAGGCTCGGCATTTTTCTTTCTGTCACCTCTGAGGGCCTGGGAGAAATGAGCACCGATTAGCTGCTTCCGGCCATTCTCTCCATCCTTCCTCCGAAAACACTGCAGGCGCCAACGCCCACTCTCGGCCCTGTCCTCCTGGGTCACCAGCGCCCACCCTCATGGCCTCAGTCCTCCCGGGTCAGAGCAAGGAAACTCCACAAAGGCAGGGGAGGGGCACGGTCTGCAGCCCCAGGGGAAACGAGACGGGTCCAGCTTGTGAGAAAGGGTCCACCCCTGCCCCCTGCCTAGGGAGCCAGCGCCTCTCCCCGCAGTTCACTGTCACCCGGGCCCTCTAGGCCAGAGCTGCCCAGCGGCCAAGGGCACCAGGCCCTGGGGGAACCAGAGAGGACCACAGCAACCCGGGGCCTCCTCTGAGGGCGGACAGGACAGGTAACAGCGCAGGCAGCTGCTGGAGCTGCACACAGGGCTCTGCGCAGACTCGGAACCTGGGGTCGCCCGAGCCCTCGGCCAAGTGACACTGTGGCCTAAAGGTCCCAGATCCCGTTTGTGCCGCCAGCACAAGGGAGTAACGGGAGTCACAGGCCCGGGGCCTTCATCCAAGCCTCGACTTGTCAGAGGGATGGGCGGGCACTGCTCGAACGCTGACCATGCGCAGCACTGTGCCAGGAAGATGCCCAGCTCTTCTGCAGCTTGGAGAGGGGCAGCACCACACCCACGACATAAGCCGCACCCCACAGGGGTGGAGATGGGGCCGAGTCCCCACCCATACCCCTGCCGGACCTGGCCAGGGTCACAAGCCCCCACTCCTCCTGGCCGTGGGACCAAGGAAGCACCCAGCCCTTCGCTGGGAGCTCAGAAACGGCTGTGAGGCCCCCGGCCCGCCCGCTCCTTAGAGGTCCTGGGGTCCCTGGCCCACGTGCTCACCCAGTTTGGCCCCCTGGCTGCCTGGGGCTTCAGCCTCCCCGCTGGACCCCTACCACCCCAGCACCCCCAACAGGCCCTCAGTGCCTGTCATAGCTCGCCACCTGCCATGCTGGCCTCCCCAAAGACCAAAGCTCCCGCAGACAGCACTGCCCCTGCCATGTCCTGACAAATCCAAAGGTCAGCAGATGAGAGAGAGGGAACAAATAAAAGAGAGAACCAAGTTGGGCATGGTGGTGCACACCTGTAATCCCAGTGCTCTGGGAGGCTGAGGCAGGAAGATCCAGGGATTGAGCCCAGCCTGGGCAACTTCAAAATGTAAAGGTCTTGGACTCAACCCCAAATACCACAAAGAAGCAGAAATGATGCACTGGTCAGTCACCTCGGACCCTGCTGTGTCTCACGTGCCACCTGAGACCCCTCCCCCATCGCCCTACCCACTGCTCCTGGACCGCAGGCCAGGCGCCCAGGCAGGGTCCAGCTGGATGACTTCCCCGAGCTGGCTGTCCCCATGCCCCTGTCCCTCCTCCATGCACCACCTGGGAGGTCCCACATCAGGTGGGACAGGCTCAGGCAAGCAGGGCTGTCAGGACACGCCCCGGGCTCCAGGCCGAGGGTCACAGTCCCAGCTTCGCTATGGCCCAACCCCATCACGGGCTCCCGTTCCCAAAATCAGTGCCTGAGTCTCAGCCCCTGCCACAGCAGGGAGAGGCCACACACACTCACACACATCTGCTCCGCCCACCCCACCCCGGGGGGCTACCGGTCCTGGGGCAGGCTCAGGGCAGCACTTGTGGCTGGACACTGCCCTGCACACCTCTGCCCAGCTCTGCCCACGGCCCCACCTCCAACATGGGGCCCCGTGCCCAGGAGGCCCGGATTCCCCCCAGCGCACCTCAGGGTACGGGCTGTCGGCCCCACTTCCTGTCCCATCCTGCTTGGGCCCCTGACTGTCTCAGCCCACTCCCGAGCCATTCGCTGACTCCGAGCAGAAGCCCAGGGGACCCGGGGACCTGGCTTTGATGTCCCCCCTGCCCCCACAGACCCCTTTGTTCCTCCCAGATGCCGGGAAAAGAGAAGCAGGGACAGGAGCAGAGAACCAGGGAGGGGGCGCCCCAGCCAAGGGCTGGCGGCGTCCCAGCCAAGGTCCCCGAGCTGGCCTCCTTCCCACTCCCTCGCTCCTTCCTGGAGAGCAACTCGCTTCTCCCCTGGAAAAGGGCACTGCCAGCCTCACCCTCTTCTCCCTTCCCACTAAAGTTCACCCCAGGGTGAGCAGCTCGGTCCCCAGGAGGGGGCATGGGAGAAGCCCGGAGCCCCTTAACCTTTGAACCCTCAAGACACCCCATGACCTCAGGCTGACCTCACCTGCCATTCGGCCTGCCCTGGGGCACCTGTCCCCCACACATCGGGACAGAAGCCCACAGCCCAGTTTGCTCGGCCACAAACATCTTCCCTTCACAAGAGAGGCCCAAAGGCCGCTGGGCAGGATGTGACAATCTAAGCCCAAGTGCCCCTGGGCCTCAGCCTGCCGGCTGCCAGTCCCAGTAACCAGCCAGGACTCTCCCTGTTGTGCCAGCCCAGCCTCTGCCCGCCCTGGCCCCGAGAACCCACTGGCCCTCTGGCGAGCGGAGGTATTGCACTGTTGCCCAGGCCTCTGAGAGGTCCCAGGACGCGGCTGTGTGCGTGTGTGTGCGTGTGCATGCATGTGCATGTGTGTGTCCAAGGGCCCAGACTCTCCACAGTGTCCACTAGCACTCACCGGACAGGCAGCCCTCCTGGCCCGGCAGCCGGCTCCATCCCAGGCAGCACCTGAGCACGGTGTGGGCCTCTGCGGCGTACACCTGCCGGAAGCCCGTGTAATAGACGGTTCTGGAAAGGAAAGGAGAGGAGCGTTGGCCATCGCAGGAGCAGTGCCCAGGCTCCCACGCTGTCCCTGCCAAGCTGGTCCCTACAGCTGGGTCTTGCAGCCCCTCTGCCCCTGCCGGTGTCCCCACGGCGGCCCTGCTCCACACTGGGGCAGGATCCCCTGTCGGCACCTCAGCTCAGCAGTGTTGCAGGCACTGGCTGGTGCCGGGTGTCCATCCGGATCCTGGCCTCCGGGGCTCACAGGAGCAGATGCCCTCAGCACCCACGAGGAAGGATCTCTGCCCTTCTGCTAAACTTCCTTCCTGCTTCTTTGGGGGTCCCCCCAGCCCAGGGCCCTGATGTCTTTCCTGGGGGTGACCCTGCCCTCACCATCCCCGGCGACCAGCCTCCAGCCCTCACCCCTTGTGAGACGGCCACCTGCCCTGTCCACCCCAGCACCCTCATCGTTCCCTGCTTGGACTGGGTTGAACAGGGTCCCCAAAACTCAGGGCTCCTAAAACAGGGCCTGAGTTGGAAACAAGGTCTGAGCTTGTTCTGTAGTGAGGTTAAGTGAGGTACATGGGCTGCGGGTCCTAAACCAACAGCGGGAGACCTTACAGACAGAGGCAGAGATGGGGTGACGCAGCCCCAGGAAGGGGCCTTGAGGACGGCACGGCCAACAGCACCAGGAGCTGGGCCAGGACAGGCGGCCCTGAGCGTCCAGGAAGAGCCAGCCCTGCCCATGGGGACGCGGACTCAGGCTCCTGACCTGGGAACAGCTCCTCACCCGTCTCCCAGTCCCACGCTGTCAGACAGATAGAGGCAGGACGACAGAGTGGGTCCCTGGGGAAGACAGGTGACCCAGCCGCCGTGGCCGCCCTGCAGCCCCGCCTCGACCCATGGAGACGGTGACCAGGGCCCGGCCAACAGGCCTGGATCAAGAGCCCTTGAGTCCCAGGGAGTGGCAGGTGACGGCTCGTCCTCAACTTGCTGGGGCCCGGCTGTGGCAAGCCAGCCGAGTCCCAGCCTGGCCTCAAAACACAGCACCACATACCCCCCCAGTCAGGGCTCGGGCGCGCACATTGCCTAAGGCGTCCGGGGCACCTTGCGGAGCTCTGGGCAGGACAGGAAACTACTGGCCCAGACAGAAACCGGAGTGGCAGGAACAAGATCCGGCAGAGCCTGAACTGCTTGGGCTCGTCGGCTGTAAATATTTATCCCTGACCCGGCTTCGGGGTCACGACCTACGTGCAGCTCCTCTCGGCCACAGTTCCCTACGGAAAAGACCTCAGAGAGGGCTGAGGGCCCAGGAGGTCTGACCCAATTCCCTGTGGCCAGCACCAGCACACGGCTCCAGCCACCGGAAGCTGGTCCACACAATTGGGGACACGCAGGACGGCGCTGCCCGGCCCGCGTCACAGTGGACGCTGCAGTGCCTGACAGGGCACAAGCTCCAGGCCCCAGGGCCACCTCCCTCCCTACCTCTGCACCCCTCGCTCAGGATGACCCTGCTCCCCCGGGGAACCGGGAGCCCTGCTGGCTCTGGGGCTTGCTGGGAAAGTGGGGTCAGAGGAGAGACCCTCCCGGCCCCCCCCATTGTCCCACACCCTGAAGCCCAAAACCAGAACCAGACAGGGAGGCACACAGCCAGCACCTCTGTCCCTCTGCCCTCACCCAGTTCAGCCCAGGTGGGGACAGTGAGGACTGCAGGGGTCTCGACCTGGCCACAGCTCACCCACGCAAGGGCCTCGGCCCGGCATCCATCCCACATCCTGGCTGGCCCTCACAACGGACACCGAAGGGAGGCGTCTCCTTGTCTGCCAGGGGGTGGGGCGGGGTAGGGTAGCCCTAAACTGGGGTGAGTTGGGGTGCAGTGTATGGGGCAGGGCTGCTGCCTCTCAGCCTCACTACCCAGCCAATCGGAGTCCTCACTACACAAATAAACCCTTAACAACAGAAAAGGCTAAGGTGGGCATGGTGCACGCCTGTAATCCCAGCACTCTGGCAGGCTGAGGCAGGAGGATCCAAAGTTCTAGCCCAACACAGGCACCTTAGGGAGACCCTGACTCAAAGTAAAAATCAGAAAGGGCTGGGGATGTTCCTCAGCAAGAGGCCCTGGGTTCAGAGCCCAGCACGGAAGCCAGACCACAGGGCCAGGGCACCCGCTGCTCACAGATGCATCACTGCCCACCCGGGGCCCCAAGCAGCGACCCCACCAGCCAGGAGTGGGATGGCTAACGCCCCAACCCAGGCGCTGTCCGCCCACTTCAAGGGCCGACGTCCAGCGCTGCAGAGGAGGCTTCCAGGCCACCAGGCAGTCAGGGAGTTCAGTTCAGGCCCTGGAGCCTGAAGAGCCCGGCAGCAGGGTCAGCCCAGCCACCGCTGCCGCCTCCCGGGCACACCCTCCCTCCGGGCCCCAGGGCGGTGAAGGGTGGTGAAGCTCAGCCTCAGCCAGCATGGGGTTCGAGTCACGGCCCGGAGCTGGCGACCAGACCTGCGCCCCAGCCCGGCCCTGAGGTCTTCCGTGGAGCATAACAGCCATGCAGAAGGCTTCAGGGCTCCTGAGCCGCCAAGGGTGCCAACGGCCATTGCAGACTGCCGGTTTTCAGGGATCCTCCTGCCTCAGCCTCCCGAGTGCTGTGATTGTGTGTGCTACCAAGGCCAGAGAGAAAATCGTGGTACACGCACATCACATGCGTGTGAAGGGTGAAGGAAGGCGTGAGCCTGTGTCTCCCCACCACTCCAACGCCTGTCCAGACAAACCCGGCCTTTCGAGCAGCCTCAGAGCACCGAGCTGGGCTTTTCTGCCTCCACCCAGCGGCAAGCCAAGCTTCTACGCAACAGGGGCACTCTCCACCCGCCTCTGCCAAGCCCGCGCCCCCCAGCCCAGGTCGTAGGCGCACTCCACAGAGCTCGGACTAACGAAGCAGCAAGGTATGCGAGGGCCCTCCTCAGACCTTGAAATAAAACACTGAGCAATAAAAGGTTTCACGTGGGCTTGGGCACGAGGCCCAGGGTCAGGCACAACAGTATCCAGCCGGGAATTCGGCAGGCCCAGCACCCTCCTGGGTGTCTAGCACCCCTCCCCACGGGGCCCCCACCCGCCCTCCGTCCCCTCCTGCCAGGACCAGGGGCACAGCCAAGCTGGAAGGGGCGCAGCCCCGCCCCCTCACTCTCGGACCCACATACCTGCGCTCGTGGCCAAGGCACCACGCCCGCCGCCCGCAGTCTGGCTTCCACACCGGCACCACGCGGCTGAAGGCCCGCATGCAGGGCTGGCGGCGGCCCACCAGTGTCAGCTCCTGCTCCGCACACACATGGGGCCTGGGACACAGGACAGGACGTCAGCGCCTCCACTGGGGCCGACACCCCACCCCCAGGCTGTCCAGGGGTCCAATCTCCTGTGCAGATGCCCAAGGGCTCCCAGCCCAGGATCGAGGGCCAGGGAGCTGAGAGGGGAACGGTGGTCCGGCATCCCTCACACGGGGCCAGAGCGTTCCTCGGATCCCCCAGGGCCCTGCACAGGAGGAATCACCGCAGCCTTTGGACAGGTGGATGGACAAATGGGCAGATGGACAGCACAAGGAGCCTGGGCAGCGCTTGGGGGCTCCGGGCTTACGCTCTTCCCACCCACCCCTCTTCCCCCACCCCCGTACCTCCAAGGCTCCAAGCACCCTCAGGCACATTGGAGACTTGGGCAGTGAGCAGGGCACCCCTCAGAGGAGCAGGGCGTGACTGGGCAAGTGAAACCCGAGCCCCACGCTTCCCGTTCCGGGCCCCAACCCCAGGAAGTGTGAGCCAGAGGAGGGGCGTGCACAAGACACCCAAACCCCACCAGGTTTGCCTGACGCTTGGGCCCACTCTGCCCCGATGCACTTATCCTTCAGAGGGGCAGTGAGAGAGGGCTTCCCGCTAGCCTGAGATGGAGAGGGCACCAGGGAGGATGGCCTGCAGCCTGTGGTGGCCATGTGTGGATGTCCCCCAGAGCCTCCTGCAGTCCTGGGGCTGGCTTTCAGAGTTGTGAGTCTAGAGTGTGACCGACTCATGGTGCAATGCCAGGCTCGAGTGCGCCAGGATTAGGGTGTGCACTCCCCGCCCTGAGCAGCCTGGGTAAGACGTAAGGGACAGAACGAGCTGTGGTTTCCTGCTGCTCTGCTACCTTCCGCCTGCCGAGAACTGCTGCCCCTCGCCCGGCACCCTGCCGATTATGGACTGAAACCTCTACAAACTGGGAGCCACATAAACCCTTCCTCCTTGAGCTCTGGGCGTCAGATATTCTGTCTCAGCATGAGAAGAGTAAGACAGGCCTCCTGTGCAGCCTGAGGACTGTCCCTGACCCTCCCTGAGCCCAACTCAGCCCCTGCATGCCGCAGACGGGGTCAGCAGGCCTGGCTCCTGGCGTGGCCCCAGGTCCCTTGCCCAAGGGTCGCTGCAGCGCTCTCCTGCTGACCCACAGAGGAGCAGGTGTCAGGGCCTCGGGGAAGTGCAAGCACCAAGCACAGGGTCCCCCGTCTCAGGAGAGCAGGGGCTGCAGGGCAGGGGGAGCTGGGCAGGGGTTCAGCCACAGGCACCCGGGAGGTCGGAGTGCAGCAGGAAGGGGGGCTGCTCCCCCAGAGGGCCTTGTCCTCGAGCCTCAGTGAGCTCAGTGGCTGCTAAGCAGGGAGGTGCCCGCACTGAGGGTCACCCGGGGCGGGGTCCACATCTTGCCTCCAAAAGCACATGCAGTGGCCTGGGTGCAGCGTGTACTTGGGGATGCGGAAACTCTGGCGTGGGAGAGCCAATGTCGGTGGGGACTCCCTGGCTGCCATGAATCTGCAGGCTGGATGTCAGGAGCCTCCCACAGCAGATGACCAACTACCAGGTCACACACACGTGCAGTGCCACACACACAGCCACTGGTAAGAGGTGTAAGCCCCTTCCGCTGCCCGCCCCCCCCCCCCCCGCCCCCCCCCCCCGCTACTGCACCCCTGCCTGTGGGGACGGCAGCCCCCAGGGGGAAGCTAGAAGCAGCTGATGCAGTGTTCAAAAACAGTCAAGCTTCCCAACACCCTCCAGTGGCCAGGCCAGGGGCTTTGGAGGGACTGGGCCTCAGGAGAGAATGGGGCCTGGGAGCCCTGAGGCCAGATCTGGAGAAAACCAGCAAGACCAGACCCAGAGCGCCACACCACCCTGGGCGGGAGGTGCCAGCGTAACGGGCTGACTCCCCTCCTCCAGAGGGGAGGCCAGCCCCAGAGAAGGCAGAAGCCTGGCACTGTGGAGCAGCTGATCCGAGCCTGCCAGTCCCGGTGGTCCGCTTCAGCCCGAGGCCAGTCTGTCCATTCCGGACCCCGAGGGCAGCCTGCCAGGCCTGGGTGTGGTCAGCCGTCCTCCCAGACCCCAGGAAAGGCAGGCAAGCCATCCTCCCGAGGCCAAAGGACTCCAGTCAGAGGCTAAATAAGAAAGATAAGCTCTGCCCACTCCCAGAAGGGCACAGAACTGGCCGGCTCAGTCGGCAGGAGCCAGAGAACCGTCCACACCCTCCAACAGATCTGCAAGTGCCAGTGACCTCTGGGGCCACCACCCTGAGCGAGAGACTCGGGTTTGCTTAAACTCAGAAGCTCACAGTTCAGGAAAACCAGCCAGAGGGGCTGCGGCTGCCCACACCAGGCCCGGCTGGCTCAGCAGATCTCCAGAGGGTCAGGGAGAAAGGACCCGGGAGGACCAGGTGCACCCTGGGACCGCTGCTACTCTCCAGTCCCCTCCTCCACTGCACGGGGCTGAGGGGAACAAGGGGAACCTCAGACCTTCTGGAAGCCTTGGGCTGCAGGCTTCTGCCTCCTTTCTGCCTGGGCAGCCCCTTCCTCTGCCCCGTGCCCTGCCGGCCCTGGCCCAGCCAGCAGGGGCCCTTGCGGCCCTACCAAGTGCCAGGCACACACAGGTGTCAAGACACAGCACCCAGCCACCAGCAAGGGGCAGTCTGAGAAGAGGCCTCACGGGACGGGCACCTGTGGAAAGCCCGGAAATGGGGGAGACAGCAGGCACCCCTGCAGGGTGGGGGCGCCCAGGAGCAGCGCGGATTTGCAGAACGGGGACAGCAAGGGGAAGGAGGAGGAAACAGTGCCAGGAGGGAAAAGACGACTCCCCCGTAACTCCTTGCGGTTGGCTCAGAGGCTTCCGGAGTCCAGGGGGCCAGGCGGGACACAGGACAGACCCCAGCCGCACTCAGAGCAGGGTGGGGAGGGGGGCGGGGCCAGGAAGGGTGTGCACATGAGCACCGTGGGAGACGGTGCCCCAGAGAGCAGCGAAGTCCATCCTGTCCAGACCTGGAACTGCAGGAAGCCCTGGTCAGCCTCTGGCAGCCTCAGGGAGAGGGCAGGCGGAGCACCCCACAGCCACCATGCTAGTCCCCGCTGGGCTTGGGCTCCCTCGGACAAACGCTGGGACCACAGGAAGGTGGAATGTCGGGCACTGATCACATGGCATGGGGCTGAGCGAGCGCATCTCTGGATGAAAGGCCCCAACCCAGAAGGCTGTAGAGCTCAGAGCAAGACCTGCTACCGCCCCCAGTGCAGCGCCTGTCCTGCTGGGCCCCAGGGAGCGCGGCTCAGGCCTCCACAGCCAGGTCCTCAGCGCCAGCCAGTGGAGTCAGGCTGGACCTGCAGAGCCCGGGAAGGGGCGGGTGTGGTCCCTGAAAGGCTACCCCGGGGTCCGACAGGAGGCCCCGCCGGCCCCCACCACGCCTCTGCGGGACTACAGCCGGGCGTCCAGCGGGGAGCGCCGGGTGGGGTGCAAGGCCTCTTCTCCGGCCCCTCCTCCACCTCCCGCCAGTTCACCCTGAGGCCGGCAAGGATCAAACCGCTAAAGGCCCGCTAGGGAATCAGCTTTCAAACTTAAATTCACCTCGCAGCTCCCTGACCCTCTCTTCCCGCCTGTCCCGGTCCCGAATTCCTCCTCCAGCAGCCCGGCGCGCGCGTGTCGAACACACGAAGAGCTCGGCGGTCGCCAGCCACGCGTACTCACTCACACGCGCGCGCACACTCACACACACCCGCCCTACGGCCCCGGACTTAGGGGTACGGGGTGGGGGTGGGGGCACGCGGATTGCTTTCCCCTCCCCGGCCGGGCAGGGGCAGAGCCCTCGCCCTCGGATCTGGGATCTGCCGAGAGTGGGGGTCCCGGTCCCGACCGCCCCCCCATCGGGCGCGACGCGCATTGTTCTGCCCCGGGACAAAGCCGGCGCGGCGCGGCGCGGTCCCCGACTCACATGCTGGGCTGCAGTGGGAGCAGGTCCCACGGCCCGGCGCCGGCGGGCGCGGCGAGCACCAGCAGCAGCAGCCAGGCCAC